CCCCGCTGCCCTCCATGCCCTGGCCTCCTGCCCCACTGACCTGGGATTGCCAGGCAGCACCCCGCCCCCGCGGCACAAAACGGGGTGCTTCCCGTCTGACCACTGCCCACCTTCTCCGAACGGGGTCACCGCCGCAAGAGTGACACCATCCCCCTCCGCGCTCACCGGGACCTCCGCCCGCAAGCGGCCTGCCGGTGCTCTCTGCGCCCTCTTCGTGCAGGGCCCGGGGGACCCAGGAAAAGGGAGGCGGCAGCCAGCGCTTTCTGCGCGTCCTCTCTCCCCTTCTAGTCTTTGGGCTCCGGCCCCACCCGCCACAGCTCTCGTAGGAAGGAGAAGCGTGTGTAGGAGGCAGGAGAGGCTGGAGGAGGTTCTGGGTGCGAGAACCTCGGAGGCCAGCACTTGGAGGTGGGAGGACAGAGGAGAGGGCGCGGGCCAGGGCCCAGGGCCGGCGCTGTGTGCAGGAGCCTCTGTGTGGGAGCTCCAAGGTCTGGGTCATACGGGGACAAGCCCGCTAGACCTCGGGAGGGCAGCCTGGCCTCCACGCTTCGTTGTGATGCTGTGGCATGAAGCTCATCTGAACCCCCTTAATTCTTCTTCCTGTTCCCTGTGGTCCATCACTCTTGGGTGCCTGATCCACCTCCGTCCTCACAGGGACGAAAGGGACACGAAGATCACCGATGCCACCGGGCCACAGTGCCGAGTCCTGTTCATTTTCTCCTCCTTGCGTTACATTTTTTAAACCATCAAAACAGTCATAGTTGCCAGTGGGTGTTAAATTTGAAATCTGGTTGGGGTCCCAATGTGGCAGCTCATTGATTGGGTAGCCATAGGCAAGTCACCGACCCTGCACCCCAGCTTCCTATGGGAATACGAGGGCAGCTGTGAGCAGCTCTGAGCACCTGTTAGGCGGTCCCGTCTCAGCAACAGTGCCTCCTGCCCACCTGACAGCTGGCGACATCTGCTCTGTCCGGGTGCGCCAGATTCCGGGCTCCCGGACGCGCAGTTCCGTACTTTTTGGTCACCTTCAGACACCTGCAACAAACAGAAAGATCAGTGACAGCCGCCAAAACTGCGGGTTCACCTGTCAGCCCATGCCCAGCTCAGAAGCTCACTGTCGGGAAAGGGAGAGGCTGTCTGCCTCCGTCTGTCCTTGAACTCCACGGAGAAGCCCCTTCCGTGGTCCCTCCTGCTTCCATGTTGTTTTCTTTCTTGGCTCTAACACAGAGGAAGCTCTCCCCTCCCCTCATGCAGAGTGTAAATGCATTACCTCAGGATGCCAGATGTCCTGGAGAAGGTCGGAAATGTGGAGCCCTGGCGGGAAGGCTGGGGAGCCCAGAGGCTGCTGGCTGGCTGCTCTGGCCTGTTTGAAATTGGCTCTAAAGACGTGGAATTAGTAGGCAAAGTCGCCTCCGCCTCCTCCTCTTACCTGCGGAGGAGAGATCGGTTCCTGGCTGGCCGGGGCAGTGTCATCGATACAGCTGGTGTCATCGTTACCTTCCACTAACAGATCACTCGACACCCGTGGCCCCGGCAGGGCTGTGCCTGGCGCTGTCCCGGGAGCTGGAGCTTTGACCCTCCCATTGCCCTGAACCCCAGGCCAGCCGGCAAGGCGCTGCTGCGATGCGGCGCTTGGAGACCCAGCAGGACTAGATTGTTCCCGGTACCTGCCTCCCCTTAGGGACCCAGCCGCCTCTCGGCTTCCTGCTGCCTGGCTGGCCAGGCCCGTTGCTGTCCGGGCAGAGGAGATGAGTTTGCTGCTTGCTGGGAGCTGAGGCAGTGACATGCTGCTCAGAGAAGGGGCTCTTGGGGAGGCCCTGGAGTGAGGAGCCGGGTGAGGAGCAGCCCGGGGTGCCCGGCCGTCCGGGCTTTGCTGGTGTGGGCACCGGGTGGCAACATGCTGCAGCAGATCCTGCACGACATGTACATCGACCCCGAGCTCCTGGCCGAGCTCAGCGACGTGCAGAAGCACATCCTCTTCTACAAGATGCGCGAGGAGCAGCTGCGGCGCTGGCGGGAGCGCGAGGCCTGGGAGGCCCTGGCCCAGGCGGAGGGCCTCAGGCCCCCGAAGGTCAAGCGAGGTATGTGCCAGGGCATTACTGAGGGGCTCCTTATTGATGCCAGGCTAGGTTCTGCTTTAAGGCGGGCACTGGCGGATTGCCAGGTTGGAGCTTGAAACCCTTGTTCTGTGAGCGTCTGGTCCCAGGAGCACGGGCCTTGGTTTTTTGTCCAGGTCGGCAGGGCCCCAGGGCGGCAGAGGGGCTGCCCAGGGACGTGGTGGTGCTGGGGAATGGGACGTGCTCTGTCTTGTGGGAGCTCAGGTCCTGGGAGGGCACAGGTCGGGACCTCAGATGGTCTTCGACACTGTTGGTGACTGCCTGGCAAAGGTGCTGGTGCAACCAAGCTGTGCAGTTGCTCCCTTTCTCGTGTCGAAGGCACACTGGTTCTGGGCGAGGCCAGCTCTGGGCACTGGTACCCTCTGCCCTGCCCTCGTGTGAGAGGGTCCTCCATGGGCATCTGGAGGGGGTACCGGGGAACGTCCTGCAGAGTCCCAGCCCCAAACGGCAGCAGCAACTGCAAACAGCAGGCAGGGCCCGGCCCACATTTCAGGTGTTTGCTGCTGTCATGTGCGGTCAAGCCCAGGGACGGTGCCCGTGTGAAGGGAGGCACCCCGAGGCCGGCGGCTGCTAGGCGGGATCTGGGGGTGGCCCTCCGTGCATGCTGACCACAGCGTGCGCAGCACCATTCATTCCTCTTCCCTGTTCTCCCCACCAGCCTAAAATGGCCTCCATTTGTTCTCCGGAGTGAAGTGCAGACTTGATCTGTTTAAAGTTTTCAATCAGGATGAAGTCCTGTGTCTGTGCTGGGCATGCTGGCCCCGTGGGCACTTGGTTCCTTGCTCTCTACCCCGGGCTCACTGGACAGTCCCTGCCGTGTGCCACAGGCCACCCTCGCACCACCCGGGCAGCTCGCTCCAGCCTCTGTCTTTGCACGAGTAGTTCTTCCTATTGGAATGTCCCCCTGCCTTCATCCTCTTGACAAACTCCTTCAGGACTGGTCCCCTCCCCTGGAATCTTTTGGGGGTGCTCCTGGCACAGGGAAGTACTTACTCCTCTGCAGCGGCTTGGCATGGGGACCCACCGCCCTACACTTGCCACACTGTCATTGGCATTCGTCATCTGCTTGCTTGGCTCCCCCGGGGACCCAAAGAGTGGGAGGCCTTAGTCCATTATCTTCCATCCCTGGTCCAGCACAGGACGTTAAGTCCTCGTTCTGCACAAGATGCAGCAGGACCCTGGGTGCAGAGCTGTGACTTGGCTGTGCATGGCTGGTGCCAAGGCTGGGCCGATGGCCGGGCTGTGCTGGCAGCTGCATCGCTAGCCCCACCCGGCCTGGCCCTGGGGCCTCACATCGGCTGTGCAGTGACTCCTTGGGGAAGAAGACAGATGCCTGAAAATTAACTGCAAAAATATTTTTACGGCGATTTGTCACACGCTGACATCTACATTCTCGTGTATAAATTATACATTAAACTCATTTGGGTTTCTGGTGCAGATGACTCTTTTCCGGGTAATTAATTTTCTGATTTATAAAGAACGGAAAAAGAGGAGAAAACACAGAGGAATGTGTGTGTTCCAGGTCAGGATCCCATTCAGATCTCCGCTCTTTGCTTTGGTCCTGCCTGTGGAGCTGTCGGGGCAGATAAGGGGAAGCTCTGGGGCCAGCTGTGCCCCAAAGGCCGCACAGCTTCCTGCTGCCAGTCCAGGAGGCACAGTGCCTGCTTCCTGCTTCCTGCTTCCTGTCCTCGGGTCCTGACGCAAGTTTCAGCAACCTCTCACCTCCTCAGTGAACTTCACGTTTACCGGGGGCCTGCCCCCACGGAACACTCCCATAGGCCGGGGACCCCGTTTCAATGAAGCCATGGCTCACAGATGTCCATCATGTAGACACTAAGAAATGGAGTTGGGACACATATCCCCTGACTTTGACTGTGGGTGCAGTTACTGATGTTTTTCTCTTCATTCACTTTTGAATTATGACTCAAGTTCAACAGATCATCCGTGCACTCATTCATTTTTTTCATTCACTCTCTTATCCAACATAACTAAGTGCTGACTTTGGTCAACTGGACAGAGCTTTGCAGATCCCAGGAGACACAGCCGGGAGCAAGGCTTGGTGCAAAGCAGCCACATGGTGGCTCAGGGTGGGAGTGCGTGGGGACAGGCCCCGTGGGCTGGACCTTTCCCTCTGCCTTACCTTTGTAGGCACTCCCTCCACCACGTTTGTCTGAAGGTCGCATCTGCTGTGCCCTGTTGGGCTGTGTGCACAGCTTAGTCTGGTAAACCTGGAAGGACGCTTCACCTCCTCCTGTCCATTGGCCCCAGTGCGACTTGTCCCCTAAGGCCTCCACCCCACCCTCTCTTTTCTGGGGACATTTCCCAGCTCCTAGCAGGCCTTACTGGCTGTTTCTAGGGCTCAGGTGCTGAGGGCCGGGTGGGGCCAGGCACACCTGTCGCTGTGGTGTCTGCTCTCCAGTGGAGCCAGGAGAGGGTAGGAGCAAACACTGGTGATGCAGACCGTGCCAGGTCACAGAACTGATCCTGGGGCGCACATTGGGGGCCGCACAGACATCGCTGGGGTGAAAGGTGACAGTTATGACGGGAAGCATCACTCCCCTGATGACACAGCCTGTCTCTTCTTTTCGCTTTATATTTGGTGAGGATCTTCGGGCGTCCTACACGCTGTGGAAGACAGTCATCTCAGCGTAGGCGCTCTCTCTCCTGCCGTCACATTTGCTGCTTTGCCACATTCCCGACACCATTTGATGTCCCACAGGAACCAGTGTGGTTAGGCTGAGGCGGGAAGGCAGCCACATTGCGTTCCTGCTGGATTTCAGCCAGGCCTCAGCCTGGTCACAACCTTGGCCACCTCTTCCCCTCCTGTGCTCTCTCACCCGCACAGGAACCCACACCCCTGTCAGGGGCGGCAGCCTTCACAAGCTCCAGCCCCTCTGCTTGCTCAGCTATCCCCGTGTCCTGGGGCTGAGCCGGTGTTGCCTGGGACACAGGACTCGGTGTCCTGTGTGTTCGAACCGCTGTCGTGACTGAGAAAGCTCCTCCCCTCTCTCCCCTCCTCATCCCTCCCATCTCCAGCCTGTCAGTTCTTCCATGATTGGCAGTTTCTGTCAGTGTTAGGTCGGTTGCTCGGTGACCACCTCCCTATCCGTCCCTCCTTTGCCTGGGACCAGACACCTTTCCCACCCGCTTTCCCGCTTCCTCCTTTAGCGTGCTGACCACAGCCACACTGCGACTCAGGCCTGCACACAGGGAGCTGCTGGCTTATGTCCTCTGTGCTTCTTGCTCACACAGCCACCCCCGTGTTAGCAGCTCCACGTGCCTCCATGCTGGCCCCTGGCCTGGCCCTTGCTCCAGCCTCTGGAGCACTCTCAGTGCAGCTGGGTCCCAGCCCACTGCCTCTGTTCCCCACAGCTGGGGTCAAGAGGTGGCTTCCTCCCTCCTAGCGCCCCCTCTCCCTCCTGGCTTCCTCCCTCCTAGCACCCCCTCTCCCTGCTGGCTCAGCCTGTGCGGCTCCCAGAAGCAGCCCTGACTGGGCCTGAGGGAGACACCTCCTCAGCATCCTCTCTGTGTCGAAGCATTAAGTCGCTCCTGCTGCATACCTGCCCAGGTTTTGGTGCCTCATGTGGGCCTGGTCCGTGCCCTAACGAAGCCGTGGGACACAGTCCTAGCTGTGTAGCTGCTTTCATTCAGTAACCATGGCAACCTTCCCTGGGGCCTGAGCCCTCAGCCTCAGTGCGTTCCCTTTCCCAGCGTGGAAGTCCTGACTGTACTTGGCTGCAGACCTCCCTAACGCAGCGTGGTTCTCACACTGATGCTATACGACCCTTTCTCCCAGTGCCCTTTCAGCATGCTAATTAGCTCACGCACTTCCTTCCTCAGTGGTAAAGAAAATGCAAATGCCTTTCACTGGCCTCTGCCCACTCTCCAACCCATTTCCACCCATTGGGTTCCCTCTTTCCCAAGCCCTCTGAGGCCAGTTCCCTCAGCATTCATTTCTCATTACATGGTGAGCTTTTCACTGACTCCCTTCCCAATGCGCCCCATCCCGATCTCTTTTCACGGCACTCTGCCCAGTTTTCTTCACAGTGAGATGCGATTTTAAGCTGTTGGGTTCATTGTCTCGAGAAATTGTGGAATGAATTCATGGACAAGGGAGGGATAAACAAAAGGGAGAGAAATTTATTAAAGCGAAAGTAACAAGGCTCTCGCCATGTGAGAGGGTCCCTCCCAAAAAGGGTTGCCACAGAAGCTTACCAGTCTAGGGGTTTCTATTTCCTGCACTTGTCTTCTATTGGCTCTTTCGAAAATTTCCTTCCTTATCACCAGCCAATCTCCTCTTGCCCTCGCCTTCCTGCTTTTAGCTCCTGCTCTTGGGTTGGGTGAAGGGGTGGGAAGGGCAGCCCTACAGTTGTCTGGTACATTCTGCCCATCTTGCTCACATCCTGACCATCCTCTTGATCTGCTGTCTTCCTTCCCTGATATGCCCTTACCCTAATCTGCCTGATCCTAACTCAACAGCAGATACTTTTTAATAAAAGAATATCCTTTTTAAACAAAAAAAAATTGTGCTACAATCCACACCACATACAATGTACCATTTTAACCATGAAAGGCTGTGCAATCCAGTGATAGTTAGTATGTTCAAAACTTTGTGTAACCACCACCTCCACCTTGTTCCAGAACAATGTCTGCATCCATGAATCAGTCACTCCCCATCCCCTCCTCCCCTCAGGCCCTGGCACCACTGACTCCTTTCTGTCTCTATAGATTCCTCCTTTCCCCCCTCTTTCCCCTCCCTTCCTTCTCCTCTCTCTCTCTCTCCTGCCTCTTCCCGCTACTGAATCTGTTCACTCAGTTGAGGCCAGTCTCCTCCATGAGCCTGAAAGTACCATGAGACCATGGGTGTTGCTTGCATTGTTTCTATCCGGACTGTGAACACAGCTAGGGCTTTGGTGGGTGTGTGGGCAGGCGGGTGAGGAGCTGCTAAGACCCTTGTAGCCTCG